TGTGCACGGCTTCATTTCTGCTTTCAAAAAGGTAAACTCTCAAAATTCGGAGTTTATCGAGATAGCGAAGATTTTTCTTTTATGTTTTCAGAAATCAAAAAGTTTGAGCGCAGCCGTAGCTCACATCACGTTCTACACAATGTGTGGCAGAAAAAAGAAAAAAATTGATGAATGCTGTAAAACTTACGAGTTAAATCAAAAGAATCAAAAAGGTAGTATACGATACAGGTATAACTCAGTTTTAGATAACCCTACTTCTTGTTATAGTGTTGGACAGTTGCCAAACAGAGATTCTGGCTGAAGAGAGATGTCCTTTCCTGAATGTTACGAAAAGCCTCAACATTGCTGCTAATCAAAACTAGGAAACTAGAAAAGATTGGAATTTTTTTGAAAAGTTCGAGAGCACCGACAGGAAAGGCGCCTAACTTAGGTGGGCCTTTTGATGAACGGCACATACAATCGGAAACAGCTTGGAACGCTGAGCCCAAATTTGTTGTTTCTAACTGCAAAGCATTATTCTGAAAAGAGTCGCAAGTTATTTATTACGCGTCGTTTACGCGCTACTGAACATGGGGGGGGTTAGTCCATAAATAGAAATCTGCTCAGTAAAGGTGCTGGAATATTGAAAAAAACGTCGAGTCAAGTATTTTGGTATTGATAGGGAGCATTATGCATGTGCACTACCTCTGAATGTGATACCGTCATCTCTAGTCGACTACCATCCAAGTTTTGCACAGGAGAAAGCCCATAACTTTGTTCAGATAACGCTACGCAGCTAGCGACAAGATATTTGGATTCAGCTTTCAAGCTGATTCCAAATACAGTATCGTTTTTCAAAAAGCCGACCTAAATTAATTGACTTTTCCCGTGAGTTCAATTTCAGCCACGCAGCATGTGGGCGAGAGCGCTGATGCAGATATCAAACACTTGAAATGGTTGCCGTTCTATGCATTTCAAATACGGAAATAGAATTCATGTATATGAATGATATAAATAGAATTTGAATTGATTATAACTAGAAGTAATTAATTATATTAATGTAATTGACTTATCCGCACTCTAAGTGCAAATTTAGAGCTTTACTATGAATTACCATGATTTCATGCGTATGAGGCGCACTTTTTCGATTTTTCAAGCGAGCCGCTCAGCCGCTTCACTGTATTAAGGAAAGAGATCTTTGTACCGCACGATTCTCTTTAGCAATACACAGCATATTATAGGGTTCTTTGGTTGAAAAGTCTCTTGGCGTGTCTGGGCTAGTATTTTCGAAAAAAATCCCCGCGCCTTATATGCGTGAGATTAGGGTAATTGCAGCAGAGATTTTAAAACCTTTGAGCGATCACAAAAAAAAACTTGAAAGCTTCCAACAACTTTGTGAATTTATTAGTGACAAAGCAATCTGAGAACACATTGAACAGCAAGGTCAGCTGATATAACGAGCCACTTCTACTGCATCTCAGCTCTGGAAAAACTCTTTGACGGAATGATGAATTCTCACTTTTGAGCAGCTGATCAGAGTTTTCCATGTCAGCTGGTCAGCGACATTTTTCTACTCACAAGAGAACTGTGTTCAATAGAAACTGCCCTTTTAAACGGGATGTACAAGGTAATGAAGAGCATGAAACGCTGATTCCAAATCTGCCTTATATCAACATTCATGGAGTTATGAACGTTTACTAGAGCAGCCAGTTAAATGTGCATTTAGGATAAATAAATAACATTCAGGATCTTATCAGCCTAAATGACAAAACCAATTGTGATATTTCTTGTCTAAAAGTTTTTATTGAAAAAGTGCTCTGATAATTATCACTGCTCCTTTGAAGCGCTGGAGATAATATTAGTACTGTATTTGTCCCACTTGCATACTCAATTTTTCACTCCAATAAAAGTCGTAATTTTTCGTCCTTAGACGCTCGAGTCAGCGTTTTGTGCACTACAATATGTATACGTCCCATTCAGGCCACTTCGACTAGCCACCCTTCCGTTAGATACTCGTTTTGATTACATCCTCGCAGTTTTTTTGAGTTTTAGGGGGCAGTCGGATGAAACGATCAAAGTAAAGACAATTTCCATTTTGGCAATTTCATTTCACAATTTCACATTTTGACAATTTGATAATTTTTTCCACAATTCCTCTTGCATGATTTTTATTTTGGATTCGGCGTTATGATGTTTTATAACAAACGAGGTTCTGTTGTATTTGTGATAATGTGCCAGCAGCTCGAACTTTAGGAGTCCCTTATGGGGGATAAACAGCGATTCGGGATATAAACGGCCGCTGCAATCCACTTACGTAATCACTTTTGTTTCCAGGAGGGGGCTTTGGACGGCACGAGATCTCAGGTAATGGACGAATTCGAACGAAAATTACCCATAGAAAATTCTATTTATAACTCCTATCCATACGCACGACATTTGATCCGCTGCACCATGCTAGTAAACTCTTACCACACAGTTCGTGGTGGACGCGTACGTAAAAATTGAACAAAATAGGCTCAACTACACATATCAGGAGAAGCTCTGCTTAGACAGCTACCGAAGCTTGATGAAGCACCTCGCAAGTGACGATACACACGAGCCTGCAAGCCAGTGTATCATTCTGCCAGCTATAATACATTTCAAGGTGAACCATGAACTATACACCACTCGTATCAGCACACAATGTCCATCGTCGGCAAGCATGGAAAGCTTGATCACTGTTTGACGTTCAATATAGCCTGCGTGGAAAGAAACCATAGAGAACCTCTGGGTTGGAAAAACCGACCTTAATCAAGGCTGTACAAAGCATAAGAGGCCAGGCAATGGATCTTCCGTGCACCTTCGAGATGGAAGTTTTGATCAAGCATATCGTTCCGTGCAATCGCTATCTCTTGCTGCTCTTGAATGTGCCCATCAATGTTGAGTTTTGCGGATAGTTTCAGGCAGTGAAATACCTGCACAAGTATGTCTATGAAAAACTTGGCTTCTTTGCGATTTCTGCAAAGTGGCACTGACCAACTGACGAATTTAAGGCACACCTTGACGCTCATTAGTGTGCTTGTAAGAAGCTCTACATCACATTTTATGCGATAGTGCCACTTTGAGTCCGAAACGATAGGCAGGCTTCAGGTTTACCTTCCACACTTCCAAAATATCACCCATCTGTGGAAGGAAAAAGGGAAGTCATACAAAGAGTGGCAATGCAGGAACTACGCTTACAGCGTGGCTGATCAATACCGAGTATGAACAGCTAGAACAAGAAAATCAAATCTTGGCAGGAATGGTCGATGCACGATCTGTATATATATATACTACCACCAATTTCCGAAAATACTTTCGTGAAGAAAACTGGAAAGTAGAAAAAAGTAGAAACTGTATGGAAGAGGGACCCACGAAATTGGAAGTACGTAAATAGCTACCCTTGAAAAACACAGCTATTTAGCCTACAATCTGCTCCAATCCCAGCCAGGCCAAAATTGGCATGTCCGCGTCGCTAGTTTTGCGGTCACTCCCACGGCCTGCTTCTTTGCTTTCATCTGCAGCATACAACTGTCAGTGCTAGAACATCTCAGCGATGTTTTGGAAATAAACGAATTCAAAGATTTTTTGAAGGATTTTTGAACGGACTTCCAATTTTATCTTGGGTTTTTTGGGGCGCTAGGATCTTTTTTGTTTTCGGCTTCAATCTTCGCTTGGATCAAAGTTGCTGCAAAACTTTGAGAACTATCTTGTAACGCTAGCTTTGCTCTACCGAAAGGTGTATCAGGAATTATTTGAGATGTAGAAAATACATGTGTTATTGCGATCTGTACTTATTTTGGTGCAGGAATAATGCATCAACTCAATATAAACACGCATACTGCCATCTTAACTACCGTAAATTCTCAGAGACAAGTCCTCCACCAGAAAAGTCCGTCTACAGATAAGTCCGCCTTCAGAAAAGTCCGCTTTTTTGACTCAGATAAAGCCTTTCAGATAAGGCCTCTCTACAGATAAGTCCGTTTTCTTTCCATTTTAGCCGCCTTGAGATCTTGTGAGATAAGTTCGAAGACTGTCACATAAGTCCAGACTTATCTGTACACGGACTTACCTGATAGGAGAACTTATCTGCAAGATTTCTGGCGGTGCGAGGGCATTTTATCGCTTTTTCTTGTCAAAAAGAAAAGTTATTTGTAAGATTTTAGGGTATACTTACAGTAGCTCTGAAATGCTGACAAATTAATTCCAGATCCAGCTCAAAGGAAAACTTTCGAGTGACTTTATTCCGAGATAATGGTTCTTTTAATAAAATCCAAGCCATCAAACGGACACACGCAGTGGCCATGGTTTGACATACCATGCGTAACCTACGACACTCGTCTCGCCCCGAAGTGTATGTGTGCCAAGTTTGATCCGGATCGGCTCAAAAATAGGAATTTCTATTTGGAACATACGTACAGACAGACACACGTTCAGCAAAATGTGCATCCAGCTTTATTTGCACAGATTTGACTATTCGATCAGACGAATATGCGTTTTCTTTTCAATTGTTCGACTGCACGGATAATTAAATAGTAGAATTTTTTGCATAAATTATGTGAAGGGGTTTGTTTGGTCTCAACAGCACTAGACACCCGCGGACGCGCCACGCTTTTGGAGGCATCTGAAGAACTGTGAAGTTGCCAATAAGGCTCTATGGTCTCTTGTAGGTATGCCTGGTAAAAACAGCGTTAACGTTTCAAATATAAACATTACACACATTTTCTTTGTTTTATAGCATTTTTCGATAGCACAGACGTCCTTTGGTACTAGGTAACCCAAAAAAACCGCTGAGAACAAGCGACCACATAATTGGCCATATACATCAATTCTATTGACTCTGCGAAAATTAACTGCGATTGATAAACAGGTTTTGGCAACTTTTCTGCGAATCATGTACACAAAGAATGTGTGCAGGAAAGATTATAAGAAAGTGGAGATGGAAATGTGAACAAGAGTGCTTTTTCATGTTTTGTACTCGATTGATACACTTGATAAACTGTCTTATGAACTTGCGGTAATCGGTTAAAAAAACTTTTTTGATATGAAACTTATTGGTGATTGCGTGCTGAAATTATGATACGCTGTTACTTTACTGCACCATGTCTATCGTGCCGCCTGGTATGTGTAGAAACAGAAAGCGAGTGAAGCAATTCTGCCTAATTGTTGGCGTAAGTTTTATGTTTTTTCTTTTTTTTTTCTCAGAATAAAACACATTTTCAGTTATTGTCTATACTATGCAACGTACGATGTGCCTATCCAAACCTTGCTTCCGCAGGCTGCAACATTGACGAAAACCACAACCTAAGCTTGATATTCCAAACATTTTGGGAAAAATACCACGTGAAAATGCTGGAACGAAAACCGATGGTCAGTTTCAAGGCTATACAGATGCTGTTTACTCCTTCCGAAGGTAGCCAGTTCAAGATAACTTTCTAAACTTTTTCTCTTACCTCGTCCGGTTTCATCAAGCGCTTGCCGCATAATTTAACATTCCGCCAAATGTCTACGAGCGTAGTCGTGACAAGAATTCATGGTACCGACCAGGGCTCGGCACAGGTGGCTTACCGGGCAAGCTGGATATCGTTTTGGAGGTAAAAAGCAAAGGGAATACCGCTTTTGCGGAAGAGCATGTCGATGTCTTGCGATCTGCTGCCGGCACGCTGCCGGCATGCCGGCAGCATGGTCCATCAAACAAACAAAGGGCTTGTGTACAGCGAAGTGAAAACGAAATAAAAACAAAATGGGTGTGTAGATGGGTAATGGGGGAATAGCATGTAATAGTATAGTGGTAGTACTATGTGCAAAAAATTATGAAAAACTTATGTGATTTAAAGTGGCGGCAAACTTTTTTCGGAGTTAGGTTGGCTTTACAGCCACCTGGACAGCCAGAGGTGGCTGTAAAAAGAAAACATAAGTTTAGCATATCTTTGTTCTACATCAAAAACACTATAGATAAGTTTCTGAATCTCCCAAACCCCCTCCTCCTCGCCTAGTTACAGCCCTCTAAATATTTTGTATGGCGACGGCAAGCCTGCTCCGAGCGCGCGACGGTGCGCGCCGGACACAGCATGCCGCCAATTCGGAGAATACGATATTCTTTAGTTCCTTTTTGTTCGCTCATGCTGCCTCTAAGTTTTGTTTCATTATTTTTTGTTATTCGTGATTGATCCATTCCTGATCGCGTCACAGGTGATGTCGTATTTTTGTAGCGAAATCGGCGGGGATTTCGTTTTTGCAAAATTGAAAAAGCCACCTCATGTCGAGCCCTGGTAAGGACGAATATCAAACAGTCAGTAATCCAGCAACATTCCACCAGACGAATTCTAAGCGATTTCTGAATTATCCAGAGTCGAATGTTCGAATATTGGTACATGTTTGAAATCGAATGTTTGGTTGATTAAATAATTGAACGTGAATACAAATAGGCAGATCTAGTATTCGATCATTCGAATGTCTTGAATAAATCGAATAATTTGGTGATGCATCCATTTTGAGCAAACTCTGAGCTCCGGGCTGGGAGTTTGGTAAGGGGTAGGTAAGTGAGCTGCTAATTACGACAGCAAAAGGAAGGGACCAGGAGGTTATCTACTTGTTGATCACAAATTAACCATTTAGCATTGTAAGACCTTTTTTGAGGATTTACGGTGGCATCGATATGAGGTCAAGATGATTAACAGATGATGGACATTAGGTCACCAAAGGAGAGGTCACACGTAACCCTTTCCTACAAAGCGCGCGCTTTCACGTTACTGTTATGTGCTGTCTGTCCGTGTGGGTGGAGCCTATTGGCGAACTAATGTCCTCTGCTCGGTCAAGATCTCAAATCTCGCTGGAAGAAATTTGCACAGAGAGGCTACATGACATGCTGATCACGAATATAACACTTTTTCTGCATCAGAGTCATAGGCTTTCTTGAGAGTTCGCTTAGGGGGGGGGGTGTTTAAGACACTGTGCACATTATACTGATATCACATGGTAGCGTCATTTATTCATTTTGCGGTAAGCAAACGGTGGATGAGTCAAAGCTCGCTGAAAGCTTTGGCTGGGGTTTTCAAGCTTTACAAACACCATGCTTGTGGGCACAACGACTTATTGTCAAGTTATGGTAGTTTGCAGCCCATAAATGGACATTTTTTCGCGTTCAGTCCAATCTAGATGTCAGAAATTCAAAACAAGTCTTTATGAGGTGGAATGAGTACGATATTCGTTATCATCATGCCAGATACCCTCCCCCTTCCACCCCTGCACAAAGTTTCAAGCAGATGTACGATTTTGACCTTTTCGATGTACGTGTAACTACGAAGAGATCTGAAAATGCGAGGAGAGTATGATATCCGTAACGTGATACGATCAGCATGTGATAACTCCTGCGCAAAGTTCAAGAAGATCTGAGACTTTGATCCGATACTGAATGCCCACTATAATATGCGAAATGATCGTTATCTTCGTGACCAGCAGCCGAATACCCCCTTCCCTTCCTGGGTGATTTTTAACGAAAACCATGCTTTGAGTTCTAGGGTTGTATTGAATGGAATAGCGCCACCAAAAAGTGCAACAAGTATTACAGGGCTTATCAAACGCAGTGTCGCTTGCATCAGCATCTCCACTCCCGCGCTGGACTCTGCTTCTCTTCGCGAACATGCTCTCTAATCACTTCCAATCGATTGGGGCTCCGCCTTTTCCACGCTTACCTTGGGAAAGAGATCAGAGAGCATGTTCGTGGAAGAAACGCAGAATCCATCGCGGGAGTGGAAATGCTGATGCAAGCGACACTGCGTTTGATAAGCCCTGTAGAAAGTACTTTTGATGACCAAATCAAGAACGAATCCATTCTAGCTGATTGTTATCATAGTTCTATACTTACCATATTCAGATCTACGAGTGCGCATTAAAAGAAGCAGCTTCATCTTTATTAGCAAAAGAGCGCCTTCCCGATCCAGAACAATGCCTCTTGCGCAAATTTGATTGGAATCAATGCAAGTGGTATGTTCATAAAATGTTGTAGTATTACATATGCATTCTATGTGCTTATTTAGTAAAATGCATATAAAGGAAGTTGCCTATTATCTAGTATTCAATGTCACCAAAGAACAGGTGAGTGTTGTGTTATTTGCTCGGAATTTAGCACTGTAGTAGAGAAATATCAAAGTTTCCCTAGACTTGCATCCGAAACACTATTTTGAACTTTTTACTGCTTCCCTACGAAAAATACGAGTGTGTAATACCTTGCTTATTATAGATGCGACAAAACGAAAAAATGGAGAGTAAATTTGGTTGCGCGTTGGATAAGAAGTCCAAACATGCTTTATGTATAATTTCTAGTGCTAATTCATTGTCGTGTATGAAGTACCTTCGTTTTGCTTGATACATTGTCATACTTACCATCACCAGAATATTTTTGCCATATCTTATATATAAAGCTGAATGTCTGTTTGTCTGTATGTATGTCTGTCTGTCTGTACGTATGTTCCGAATAGAAAATTCCATTTCTTAACCGATCCGGACCAAACTTGACACACATACACTTCGGGCCCCGGCGGGTGTCATAGGCTACTTTTCGTCATCGATCGATGTCGATTTTATCGATTTTTTGCAAAGTTTGAGCTACGGGGCTGGGTTTTGGCACAGGGGGGTAATCGAGCATGGGGGGGTGTAATCACCCCCGTGGGGGTGATCAGCATGCTCGATTACACCCCCCTGCCAAATTCCAGCCCCCTAGCTCAAATTTTGCAAAAAATCGATAAAATCGACATCAATCGATAACGAAAAGTGAACTGTGACACCCGCCGGGGCCCGAAGTGTATGAGTGCCAAGTTTGGTTCGGATCGGTTAAGAAATGGAATTTCTATTCGGAACATACGGCGGAGCCGGGTAAGCCAGCTAGTGATTAATAAGTTGTGAATGAGTGCAAACTATAAATTCCTACACAGTATTTTTCGAAGAAATATCGAATGTGACTGATGTCATGTTTTATATCCAATATAAAAGCAGTGTATGTGTCTAGCTATAAATGTGCTTGTTCTGGTCATGAAAGCAAGCTTAGGCCCCGCAATAGTTGTGTAAACAATAAAGAAATTCTGAAGAAATTCTGCTCGGGTAATTCCGATTCGAATATCTCTTTCAAAGATGTCATCTATGATATTATAAAGTCTGACGTGACGGTAAAAGTACAAAAAAAGGTTGATATAAATCTGGTTAGTTAACGATAAGCTAGTCCTAATTACAGGGTGGTTCACATGAACTGTGACACGACAAGAAAATTCTATGATTTTGCAAGGACTGTGGCCCGTAGTAAACCTCCCATCAGGGCATCTCTCTCGACGAGGACCGGAGTTGATCTCATCACGCCTCAGTTTAGCATCCAGTGAGCTATTGATCTGGATGCGGATCTCTTTCTAGACATAGTAATCATGTTCGCTCTTGAAGAAGGAACCCTTGAGCTGGTTTGGTCGAGCAAGCGAGCGGGATTGAACGCGCGCTGCCATGGTTCGACGCCTAACGCCACTCTTTTGCTGTATTGCAGGGCGTCTTTGATAGCGACCACTATCGGAAAATCGATGATGACCGCTATCGAGGACTTCGACTAGAAAATGCATGGATGAAACAGAAACGCATTTTTTGACAATTTCATGGAAAATTGAAATAACTGCAACATGAATCCAATGAAATAAATCTACAAATTCTTGCCTTAGGCAGCTTGTCAAAGAAAAAAGTCAGTAAAATCCACAAAAAAGAAAAAAGGTTTTCTTCTTTTAGTCGCCGAAATCAGCTATTCATCGATCCTCTTCTTTTCGGGTCGCGGTATTGTGCAGTTTTGCGCCGATTTTGTCTGCATTTTTAGCCTAACTGATGTGTATCGTAAGTTACTCAGGAGCAACTTACGGAAGTCTTGTCTGCGTCTCTTCTTTTACACACTATTTGCATCACTCTAACATCAGTTCACGTTCAGGTCAACTGAACGTGAACTGATGTGCGAGAGTTGACTGCAGCAGGTGGACAGATGGTCAACTATCAGTTCACTCGCCATGCTTATAGCATAGGAAGGTGGACGGTTATCAGTTCACCTCACCTAAGCTCAACTGATGGGTTAAGTTCAGTTCACCTGAACTGATCAAGCTTTACTACGGGCCTGTGTCCTCATCTGATAGAGAGAAAAGTTCTGTATAAAATCTTTCTAATCACTCTTGAGATATTTGTCTCTGGCCTTGATAAAATAATTTATTCTCTTCCAAATCTCTTCCAAAAATTCTTCAATTTGCGCGCAATGGTTTTTGGTCCCAAACTCTTCGTTGCCATGGCACAAATCTTTCACCAAAGCCGAAGGTGGATATCTTGAGAATAAACTACAAGATTTTATACAGGAATTTTATTTTCTATCAGATAAGAACAGAAGCTTCTGATTTTATTGAGTTCTAGCAAAGTTACGAAACTGTGCGTCACATTTCATGTGGACCACGATGTAAATACAAAATCATCTAGGCACATAATTAATTTATAGTGAACCCAAAGACATGCTTTATTTGCAGATTCTGTTCATGTCAGAGCGCAATATTTGATTTTAGTCTTTGAAACTATTTCTTTCTCTTCAGTCGGCCTAAATGAACATCAAATTTTTCAAATGCAAATGAGAGGAGAAATTTGAGCATGCTTTGAAGCGTGCTGAATTTCGAAGTCTCTACCTACACAAAAATACAGATTTTGACTGGTACTGAATATATCGATCCAAAGCTGTCTCAACCACGAAAAATATTGTGCGCAAGATAGCTCAGAAAAGGGAAAAAATTTGCACATAGTTGTAAAAGTTTGAACTTTTACGATTATGTCCAATTTTCTTATTCTCTAGAATTGGAATTATGTTCATCTATATTCTTCAACTGTTTGGGTTCAAAAAGTTTGTCACTGTTTTTCTTATTGCTTTAGCGAACACAAATGAAGACGAATTTCTTCTACCGACGCGATTAGTAAAGTTTCCTTCAAACTGCGCCGGAGCCTTCGGCGCACGCCTTTAAGAAATTGCCGAGTGCCGGGGGTAGGCGGTCATGCGATTTATAGGTAAGCGGGCAGCGGAAAGATGCTCATTCTGCGATTCTGGCAGATTGGAAGAATGTTGGCCATTTTTGAAAAAAATGCCAATCCTCAAAAATCCTCAGAATGCAACAGTTGCTTTTCCATAGTTTAATTGCGGCGCAATTGCCGCATTCTCGCTAGCTTTCCGAGGGCCGCACGGTCCTTTGCACCCCTAATCCCTAAACCACCAAGGACACTCTTGCCATTCACAGTGTTGCTTAGGGTGCCTTCATATTGCCTATACTGCTAGCCGCCGCTAGCACCCCGTACCAGCCCGTAGCAGCTGCCAACAGCCCGTGGCAGACCGTAGCTGCCGCTGGCCGCTTTTGTTATAGGAGCATAAAATCATCAGAATCTTACTACTTTGAGTGCTCCCGCCTAAGCTTTTCATCTTCTACGCTTATTCCCTCTTATGGCCGCTAATGTGCAGTTCGACTCCCCACACTACATTTGTGAACATTGTTCTGTTGCCGCACATTGCATCCATCGGGCCCACATTTCACTTTTGCAATCTGCTTTGTCTAAAACGATTGTGGGCGATTATCAAAGTCAAAAAAAACTCAACCCGCGAATGAATTCGGCGAACTTGCGAAATAGTAGAATGCAAGCTAGATATGCACCGATAGCCAAGAAAAAGATTCAAGCAAAAGGATACTTCAAACAAATTGCACCCCTGCAGAAACCGGACGCATCCAAAGTCATAACGAATTACATCGGAAAGACTCTTATGCGGACAGAATGACCATACGGCGCAAGTAATGACAACATTGGACACAACTATGACTTGTGAGATCTAGCTGCATACTGGCGGCTACAAAAAACGTGGGCAGGAGCATTCAGAGTAGTGAGATTCTGATGATTTTGCGTTTCTATAACAAAAGCGGCAAGCGGCGCCTATGGGCTGCTACGGGCTGTTGGCGACTGCTACCTCGGACAGTTCGCAAAGTACCTCCGGGGGACAGCAGAAATCTGGGACACTTCCGGAGGGCGTTCTTAACCATTGGAGGGCGGGGCGAGGGGCGGTCACAAAAAGTCGAGAAAGAGACTTCCGGAGAATTCGCAAATCTAGGCTCCGGAGGTCCCCCAGATTTGCGAGATGACTGGGAAGCTCTAGACGAGCAGAATCCGGAGCGCTAATAGGTACGCAACCAATCTGCCGTGCGCTCACGCGCAGCTTCCGCTAAATTCAAAAATTGGCTCTTTGTTCCTTCTAAGCTTCTTTTGCCCGTTTTTTTTTCGTTTCCATGATTCTTCCGCGTTCTGTCCCTTACGTCGTTTTCCTTTCAACCTGATGCAACCAGCACCGCTTTGAGGAACACTGCTTTAAGATAGGACTGCTATGTGCCTCCAAGAAGTTTAAGGACAACCGAGCATCGATGCCTCACCTGGACATTCCACATCAAGGAGTTGAACGTCGGCATACTTGAGGTATCGATGTATGGCTGGAAGAATTTCATACATTTTTACTTATATTGCCTCTTTAATTTCTGATTTATTCTTCCTATCTAATAGGAGTGGCTCTTGATTAACGCACTTTTTGGAATTTTTTCTCCTTTCCTTCTTACTTCACTTTTTCTCTCAAGTAGATAACCACCTCGAATTCCTTCTAAGTTTGTGATGTTTCATCAGATTTTCGATCTTGCTGCATTCTCCTATCTGATCATGGGCTCACTTGCAAACCTACTATTAGAACTGTGACTGCGGCATTAGAGTCTCTCAGGCGTTCAAAAACAAGTTTTTTTCCACCAAACTTTTCCATCGCAGCATTATTCTGGTTTGGTTAGTGCCAGCGCAATTCTCTACTTGTACTGGTTTTCGCTTGATGGCTTGTCGTGAAGAGGTGCGGATTTGCACGTGAAGTGAGCTAGGATAGTTTGACCTTGCACCGTGCCTCTCAAGGGAGTTGAAAATACATCTACAAAAGGTGAGTTATCGATGTATATGTACATTTGAATTCATATGCCGTTATGTGTCTGGGCTTTCGTCGGTCTTTATTTTTCAACTGTCTGTTTCACAAGGAATGGCCCTGCACTCCAAGAAAAATGAGTTCTTTTTAGTTCCCCGGCCTTCGACTTCACTTAATATTTCCACTCACTTCTAATTTCTTGAATGTCCATTTCTGCCTCATACCTTCTGTGTCTCTCCTGATTATTCCCATGTTGTATTTGTTGTTATGACATCGACCGATTTCTTATAGAAATTTTTTGTCATAATCCATCAAGATCTCTTATATTTTTCTCACTGCAAAACGAGTGCTTCTTCTGTTATCATCTGTTTTTTTAATCTCATTCTCATTCATTATCAGAACTTGTGTCAGCTTTACCATACAAATAAAT